TGGATAAAGGAGCAGATAGGTGGAGAGGAGGCAGACAGGTCAAAGAGGCGGGGATGGAGCCAGTAAAGGTGAGTGTAGGTGGTGAATTAGGATGGGGGTTGGTCAGTCCAGGGAAGACGGACAGGCCAAGGAGGCGTGATGAGGCTGGTAGGTAGGAGGTGGGGGTGGGACTTGAAGTGGGAGGACTGGATGGGGGGAGAAAGGACGGACAGGTTAGGGAGGCGGGGATGAGCTGGGCTGGTTTTGGGATGAGGTTGGGGGAGGGGAGATTAAGCTTGTGAAGTCCACATTGATACTGTTGGGCTGCAGGGTTCCCAAGCGGAATTTCTGCAACCTTTGGGTGGTATCGTTGTGGCACTGGAGGAGGCCCAGGATGGACATGTCGTCCAAGGAGTGGGATGGGAGTTGAAGTGGTTCGCGACTGGGAGGTGCAGTTGTTTGTCGCGAACCGAGTGTAGGTGTTCCACAAAGCGGTCTCCAAGCCTCTGCTTGGTTTCCCCGATGTAGAGGAGGCCACATCGGGAACAGCAGATGCAGTATACCACATTAGCAGATGTGCAGGTGAACATCTATTTGATGTGGAAGCTTTTCTTGGGGCCTGGGATGGGAGTGAGGTGGGGAAGGTGCAGGGGCAGGTATAGCACTTCCTGCAGTTGCAGGGAAAAGTGCCAGGGGTGGTGGGGCTGGTGTGGAGTGGACGAGGGAGTCACGGAGAGAGTGGTCCCTCCGGAAGGCAGATAAGGGTGGGGAGGAAAAAATGTCTTTGGTAGTGGGGTCAGATTGCAGATGGCAGAAGTGGTGGAGGATGATGCGTTGGATTTGGAAGTTGGTGGGGTGGTACGTGAGGATGAGGGAGATTGTTTTGGTTGATATTGCGGGTAGGGGGTGTGAGAGATGAGTTGCAGGAAATGTGAGAGACACGGTCGAGGGCATTTTCGACCACTGTGGAGGGGAAGTTGCGGTCCTTGAAAAATGAGGACATCTGGGATGTCCGGGAGTGGAATGCCTCATTTCAGGAGCAGATGCGGCGGAGGCGAAGGAATTTGGAATAGGGGATGGCATTTTGCAGGAAGGTGGGTGAGAGGAGGTGTATTCAAGGTACTGTGGGAGTCGGTAGGCTTGAAATGGATATCGGTTTCCAGGTGGTTGCCCGAGATGGAAATAGAGAGGTCCAGGAAGGAGAGAGAGGTATCGGAGATGGTCCAGGTGAACTTAAGGTTGGGGTGGAAGGTGTTAGTGAAGTGGATGAACTTTTCGAGCTCCTTGTGGGAGCATGAGGCGGCGCCGATACAGTCATTGATGTAATGGAGGAAGAGGTGGGGGATAGGGCCAGTGTAGGTACGGAAGCGGGATTGTTCCACGTATCCTGCAAAGAGGCAGGCATAGCTTGGGCCCATGCAGGTATCCATGGCCACCCCCCTTTGTCTGTAGGAAGTGGGAGGAATTGAAGGAGAAGTTGTTAAGGGTGAGAACGAGTTCAAATAAGCGGATAAGGGTGTCAGTGGAGGGGGACTGGTCGGACCTGTGGGACAGGAAGAAGTGGGAGGGCCTTTAGGCCATCTGCATGGGGAATGCAAGTGTATAGGGACTGGACGTCCACGGTGAAGATGAGGTGTTGGGGACCAGGGAATCGGAAGTTTTGGAGGAGGTGGAGGGCATAGGTGGTGTCACGGACGTAGATGAGGAGTTCCTGGACCAAGGGGGAGAAAATTAAGTGGAAGTTCGGTGGGGTAGGAGCCACAATGAGTCGACGAGGGCAGTCAGGTTTGTGGATTTTGGGAAGGAGATAGAAACGGGTGGTGCGGGGTTGGGGAACGATGAGGTTGGAGGCTGTGGGTGGGAGGTCACCTGAAGTGATGAGATTGTGGATGGTCTGATGCTGATGCTGCTTGGCCTGCTGTGTTCATCCAGCTCTACACCTTGTTATCTAGCCTTTTCCAATGGTGTGTTTATAGGATGCTGCTCTATTGGAACACTTGATGATTAGTAATTAAACAATATTTTATTAAGTATTTCAGTAAAATTAAAGTTATCCCAATTCTTCTTTGTTTGTATTTTAACTGTGTTGTAAGAATCAAGTGTATTTTGCTTAAAGACTAGTGATGAACCAATCGAATCACATCTGGAACACATTGCCTTACACTTTGCCTTTAAACCAAATGAAAGTTACTAAGGTTTTGGAGTAGATCTGTAGCTCGGGTTGTGGGTGTTGAGGTTGGTTGGCTCGCCGAGCTGGTTTGTCGTTTCGCAGACGTTTCGTTACTGTGCTTGGTAACATCCTCAGCGCAGCCTCCGATGAAGCGTCGGTGTGTTTCCCCACCTGGTTTTTAACCTCTGGGGTCCGTTGAGATGGATTGCCTCACTTCCGGTTTTCCTTCATAGTGGAATGTATATGGGGTCAAGTTCAAATGTGTTTGTTAATAGCATGCCTCATGGAGTGCCATGCTTCCAGGAATTCTCGTGCTTGTCTCTGCCTAGCCTGTCCCAGGATCTTGGTGTTGTCCCAGTCAAAGTTGTGGTTCTCCTTGTCCGTGTGGATTGAGATGAGTGAGTATTGGTCGTGTCTTTTTGTAGCCAGTTGGTGTTCATGTACTCTTGTTGTTAGTTTCCTTCCTGTTTGTCCGATGTACTGTTTCTCGCAGTCTCTGCAGGGGATTCTGTCGATGGCATTGGTCCTGGCCATGGCGGGGAGTGGGCCTTTAGTTCGAGTGAGCAGTTGTCGTAGGGTTGACGGGGGTTTGTGTGCCACGCTGATGCCCAGCAGTCGTAGGAGTCTTGTGGTGAGTTCCGACCTGTTCCTGATGTAGGGTAGTGTGATGACTGTGTCGGGGCCTGTAGAATCTTTCTGATGCTGTTCTTGTAGGCATCTTCTGACCCAGTTCTTTGGATATCCATTATCCTTGAACACTTGGAAGAGGTATTCTTCTTCCTCTTGGCGTAGTTCCGTGTTGCTGCAGTGTGTTGTCGCCCTTTTAAATAGTGTTCGCAACGGACCCCAGAGTTTAAAAACCAGGCGGGAAAAAACACTGGCGCTTCATCGGAGACTGCACTGAGGACGTTACCAAGCACAGTAGCGAAACGTCTGCAAAACAACAAACCAGCTCGGCAAGCCAACCAACCTCAACACACTACTTGAACAAGAACATGACCCCAGTGAAACCATCTCCAAGGACAACGTGCTCAAACTATTGGACCTATACCTGACCACCCACTTCACCTTCAACGGCCAAACATACGAGCAAATCAATGGGACACCCATGGGATCACGTATCTCCGGACTCCTAGCAGAAGCAGTGATGTAAAGACTGGAAAGGACCGTCCTTCTGCAAATCCAATCTAAACTGTGGATACGCTACGTAGCTGACACCTTTTGTCATCATTAAACAGACCAAATTAAAAGAGACACACAAACTTATAAACAACACCCTCACCGGAATAGGATTCACCAGAGAGGAGGAGAAGAACAAACAGCTCCCATTCCTGGACATCAGGGTAGAGCGCAAGACAAATGGGGAACTGCAAACGAAAGTACACCGAAAAGCCACACACACAGACCAAGTACTGAACTTCAATAGTAACCATCCCAGCACACGCAAATGAAGCTGCGTGCGAACACTATTTAAAAGGGCGACAACACACTGCAGCAACACGGACCTACGCCAAGAGAAAGAAGAATACCTCTTCCAAGTGTTCAAGCACAATGGATATCCAAAAAACTGGGTCAGAAGATACCTACAAGAACAGCATCAGAAAGATTCTACACGCCCCGACACACTACCCTACGTCAGGAACACGTCGGAACTCACCACAAGACTCCTACGACCGCTGAGCATCAGCGTGGCACACAAGCCCACGTCAACCCTACGACAACTGCTCACCCGAACTAAAGGCCCACTCCCCGCCATGGCCAGGATCAATGTCATCTACAGAATCCCCTGCAGAGACTGCAAAAAACACTACATCGGACAATCACGAAGGAAACTAACAACGAGTACATGAACACCAACTGGCTACAAAAAGACACGACCAATACTCACTCATCTCAATCCACATGGACAAGGAGAACCATGACTTCAAACGGGGCAATACCAAGATCCTGGGACAAGCTAGGCAGAAACGAGCACGAGAATTCCTGGAAGCTTGGCACTCCACGAAGCATGCTATTAAGAAACACATTGAACTCGACACCATATACAATCCACTACGAAGGAAAGCTAGAAGTGAGGCAATCCATCTCAACGGACCCCAGAGTTTAAAAACCAGGCAGGGAAACGCACCGACACTTCATCGGAGGCTGCACTGACGATGTTTACCAAGCATGGTAACGACACAACAAACCAGCTCGGCGAGCCAACCAATCTCCAAATGAAAGTTATGATCCAAGCTATCTCTTTGATATATTTTGAGGAGTGTGGTCTGTTTCATAACAAATTGGGAGGTCTTTTTGGCACCAAATATCTAATTCCAAATTGGGTTTAGGATTGTTGGACTCAAAGACAGTGAGTGTTGGTGTTCACTTTTTTCAGGTGCAGTCTTTGCTTGGTTTAACTGGGGTGTGCCTTTTGTAATTTATAGCTGTTTTGGTGGCTAGGAGTTTCCTGGATTTGGAACAAGTCACATGGGGTAGTTTACGAAAGGTGTGAAAGACAAAGCTTTTGGAATTGGCAAACGAGCTGAAGTTGAAATAACAAGGTGTGGAGCTGGATGAACACAGCAGGCCAAGCAGCATCAGAGCAGCAGGAAGAGCTGAAGTTGAAGTTGTCTGTATCTGTGAGGAAAAAGAGAAGATCGTAGCAATAGCTCAGTGTTTACAATTGCCAGAAACACAATTGGAATCATTGGACGTAGCTATAATTGAATTGCAAATGAAGCAACTTGAATTAGAGGTAAAATAAGAAGGGGAGTCCTAGCAGAAGAGAGGGATAAAGAGAAATAAGAATGGGAGAAAGAGAACTTCAGAACTTTGGAAGTTGGATCTGAAAGGTGAAAATCAACTTAAAATGGCAGAGGTAAACATAAAAGTGGGGAATGAAGATGAGAACAGTGATGACGAGCAAGCCCATCATAGCCAAAGGCATGGTGGGCATCTGTTTAAATATGTCCAAGTGTTGCCAAAGTTCGAGAAGGACGTGGAAGCCTTTTTCATTCCATTTGAGAAAGTTGCTGAACAAATGAAATGGCCACTGGGCCATGTTGGTTTTGTTGATTCGAACAAAGTTGGTAGGTAGACCTAGAGAGGTGTTTGCGTCATTTTCCGAGGAGGTATCTGGGGAGTATGATGAGATGAAAAAACAAAGTTACATGCACATGAACTAGTGCCAGAAGCCTAGAGATGTTTTAAGAATCTAAGGAGAGAACCTGGTCAAATATACATAGAAATTGAAAGTATCAAACAAAGTAATTTTGATAGGTGGATAAGGTCATTGAAAATAGATCAAATGTATGATGCTCTTCGAGAGACGATTATTTTGGAGGAGCTCAAAAATTCATTTCCTGAAGTGGTGAGAACTTGTGGAAGAGCAGAGAATTAAAACTGCAAGATTAGCAGCAGAAATGGCAGATTATTATAAGTTAGTTCATAAATCAAAGTTTGGCTTCTGACATCAATTTCAGTCTGGAGAGATGGAAATTGTGGAAAAGAGAAATCGTCAGGTATTAAGGCAAAAGGGCATCTCATTGAAGACTGGTAAAAATTATCTTTACCAAAGGTTTAAAGAAAACCATGAAGGTGGAAGAAAAGTAAAACAAAACCTCAGGAGTTTTCACTGCAGGAAAGTAGGACACCTGAAGTTGCAGTGTTTGTGGTTTAAAAAAGGCACTGGGAAGATGGATGTGATAAAACAGGATAAACCAGTGGGGTATGTTAAAGTGGTAAAGGAAAGCACAATTGAAGCAAAAAGAGCTGCAAAAGAATGTACAGCATGGTCAGGGGTTGGTTAATAAGAGAGTGCCAGATCTCTTTAAAGAATTTACCTGATGGGCAAGGTTTACTCGAGTGTACCAGGAGGAGTAGGTCAAGAAATCAAGAAATTAAAATTGAGATAATGGAGCAAGTCCATCTTTGAGAGATGAGGAGGTATATAATTCAGAAGGAGTATTGCCAGTAAAGGTGGTAATATGGAGAATTTATGGTGAGGAGCAGTGTTCCATTACATAAGGTGAAGCTGGAGAGTCTGTGAAAAGTGGTAGTAGGAATAATTGAGAAATTCTCTGTTCTGCAAACACAGTTTATTGTTGGTAATGATCTAGCCAGATCACAAGTAGGAGTGATGCTACTGTGGTTGAAAAGCCAGTGAAAAGTCAGCCAACTGAGGTGTTACATGAGGTGTATCCTGGGATTTTTCCTGACTCTGTGGAAACAAGGTCACAAAACCACAAGTTGAAACAGGAGGAGAAATCAAAGAGTAAAGTTTTAAAGTTCAATTCTCTGAAACTGTTTGATCAAATGGTTAAGAAAAAAACAAGTTCAGGTGGAGGACAAAGTTGGATATTTTTAGTTCAGAGAAGTTGGTTATCTTACAACAGAAAGATGAAAAGAAAAAGCAGTTGTATCAAAACATGTACACAGAAGAAGAATCTGATTGTATCCCAAAACGTTGCTATCTTAAAAATGAAATCTAGATGAGGAAATGGGAACCATAACGTATTCAGAAAGATGAAAAACCGGCAGAAGCTCATCAAGTTGTATTATCGGCGGAGTTATAGAAAGGAGGTGTTGTAGTAGGAGGTTACTTGGGAGTAAGGAAAACTCCATCCAAAATGCAAAAACACTTTTATTGGCCTGGACTGTAAAAGAATGGTGTTGACTTTTGCTGGCCATGTCACGCATGTCAGGTAATTGGAGAATCTCAGGTCGTGATAAAACCAGCACCCTTAATACCTATTCCTGCATTTGAGAAACCTGTTACAAGAGTCTTAATTCATTGCGTAGGACCTCTATATAAAACAAGAAGTGGGAATCTATATTTGTTGACCATAGGGATGTATCTACTAATTTCCAGAGGCCATTCTGTTACGTAGTATTGTGGCTAAAAGGATTGTAGAAGAGTTACTCAAATTTTTTTTAACTGGATAAGGACTACCTACGGAGATACAATCGAATCAAGGATCAAATTTTACATCAGAATTATTCAAGGAAGCTATGAATAGCTTAGGTATAAGACAATTCAAATCCATTGCATACCATCCAGAATTGAGAGCTGGTGTCAAACTTTAAAAAATGTGTTGAAGGCTTTATAGTCAGGACTGTCCAGAGGATTGGGATAAAAGAATTACAATTTTACTTTTTGCAATTAGGAATGCACCTAATGAATCAACTAAATTTAAGTCCATTTGAATTAGTTTTTGGGTATGAGGTGAGAGGACCACTTAAATTAACTAAGGTGGTAAAGGAAAGCTAATAGATATTAAATTATAAAGTTATTTAATTAATTGCTTAAATTAATTAAGGAGATATTGGTAAGTCGGAGATCAGAGACTACATTTTTGGACTATGCATCAAATGGTAAGAGTGATTAAATAAAGTAGATGAGTTGGCTAAACATCATTTAAAAGTAGCACAGTTTACAATGAAACAGGAAGCAGATAAGAGATCAAAAATTCATAAAGTACTAGTAATATTACTAGGTGAACCTTTTTAAAGGCAAGGTTTTGTGGGTCTCATCAAATCAAAGGAAATTGAGTGAGTTTACTTATTTGATAAGAATGTCAAATAGAAGGAAAACGCAGGGTGTCATGTGAATATGCCAAATGGTATTTTGATAGGGAAGGAAAGCACAAGGAGAATGTGTTACTTGTTACAACTCAGACCAATGAACCAAATCCAGATGATTCTGAATTTGACAGCGTCGATTTAATTTGGAGAATGAGCGAGTTCTCAAAAACTGGGATAAATTATTGAGTTACCTTCCAGAGGAAAATTGAAATGACCTGCAAGAGTTATTACAATCAAATGGGGAGATATGTACTAAAACGATTATGGCTATAAGAAATGCTGTTCCACTTAAGCAACATCCTTTTCGGCTTTGCCCTGTAAAATGGGAACAGGTTTAAAAAGAGATTGAAAGCATGCTCAAAGGTGATATAATTGAAGTGAGTTGCAACAAATGGAGCTCACCCATTGTGATGGTGCCAAAACCAGATGGTACCCAACGATTATGTGTAGACAATCGTAAAGTCATGCAGTTACGAAATCCGATTCACCTGCTGTTCCATGATTAGAAGATTGTATTGAAAAAGTGGGACAAGCAACTTATATTCCGAAACTGAGCTTTCTTGGAGGACAATGGCAAGTACCTTTATGTGAAAGAGCAAAGGAAATTTTGGCTTTCATGTTGAATAGACTTCAAGTTTAAAGTCATGCCATTTGGTATGAAGAATGCACCAGCCACATTTCAAAGACTAACCAATAAAGTCGTTTTGGGTGTACCCAATTGTGTGGTGTACATCGATGACCTGGTGATTTTTACTCCTACATGGAAGGAACATTTGGAGTACCTAGTGGAATTGTCAGTCAACTTCAGGAGATCGTCTAGGTGATGAACCTGGCTAAGAGTGAGTTTGCCCAAGTCATGTTCCTGGGCATATCATTGAACATGGACAGATGACCACACAGGATGAGAAAGCAAATATTATGGGGATGTATCCCATACTATGGACACAGAAGGAAGTACTACAATTCCTGGGGCTGAGTGATTTCTATTAAAAAATTTGTATCACTGACTGGCCTGTGGAAGAAGTGTGGAAAATTTCAGTGGATGGAGGAGTGTCAGAAGGCATTTCATAGCCAGGAAACTGTGGTGACGACTGCTCCAGTGTTAATAACGTGTAATTATGCAAAGCCGTTCAAGGTGGCTGTCAGTGCAAGTGATGTCGGTGTCAGTGCTGTGCTCTTACAAGAAGATGATGAGAGGATCGAATGACCTATTGGGCATTTCTCCTGAAAGTGGAATACTCATCAAAAGAAATATTCCACAATTGAGAAAGAGACTGAGTTTGGCGTTGGCATTGCAACATTTACGTTGTCAGTGTTGTATCTGAGACCATTGTGTATACTGATCATAACTTCTTAATGTTTTTTAGAAAAAAATTAAGGATAAAAGTTCTAGACTGCTTAGATAGAGTTTATTGTTGCAGCCATTTGAAAATTAGATACATGGCAAGATGAGAGAAGGTAATTGCCAGCGTGTTGTCAAGACTTTGATGAAGGAATAGGTGTTTGGTGGCGGAAGAAATGGATTTAGATGGACTGTTGAACATGTTTGTATGTTTAGGTTTGGGGTAAAATATATATAGTAGAGTACTAATTGCGTGAGACTGAAGTCTTTGAAAATGAAGTTTGTATATTGATAGTTCATTTTTTTAGTGGGGGGGAGGTATGATGGTACTGTGCCTTTGAGAGATCTGTTCTGTTCTGTTTCTTTTACAGAGGTGTTGCCAAATGATGTCTGAATGTAAAGCTGTGAGTAAACGGCTTTGAGCTCCCTGTTATTTTTAAAAAAATAGACAAAAGAAGCATGAGTGGGTAGAGTCAGGCTGTTTCTGTGCTGTAGCAAAAAGCTCAATTCTCCCTCTGCTGCTAGATTGTGTTTCTTTTGGTGTTCTTTTCTTCCTGGATTGGAAGAAAGCTGGCATGTCAGGTTGATCTATTTTATTGAATTTGCCTTTGCTAATGGAGTGTTTATGGGATGCTGCCGTAGCGGAACAGTTGATGATCAGTAGTTTAACATTATTTTTTTAAGTATTTCAGTAGAGTTAAAGTTATGTCAGTTCTTCTTGTTTTTGTTTGTATTTTAACTGCTTTGTCAGAATAAAGTGTGTTTTGTTTAAAGCCTGGTAGTGGACCAGTTGGATCACATCTGGAGCATGGTGCCTTACACCATGTCTTTAAATAAAATAAATGTTTAAGGTCTAGGCTATCTCCTTGATATATTTTGACAGAGTTTCGTCTGGTCCAGAACACAATGATAATGAAGCAACGGAGATATACTTCCAAGTTAGGATGGTCAATGGTGTGGAGGGGAACGTGCAAGTGGTGGTGTTCTTGTGTACTTGCTGTCATTGCCCTTCTAGATCATAGTGGTTATTGACTTGGAAAGTGTTATCAAAGAAGCCTTGGTGAATTTTTGCAGTACATCTTGTAGATGGTACAGACTGTTGTTACTGAGCATCGGTGGTAGAAGGACTGAATGGGGATGAAGTGCCAGTCAGATGAGATGCTTTGTCCTGGATGTCAAGGATAGAAACCTGATCAGTGATCAAAACACAAGTTGTGGGAAAGATTTCCATGGATTTGGGAAGGAACATCCATCTTCAAAGACTTTGAACAGGAAATAGAAGATGGAGCACTAGTTCGCAAAAACAGATGTTTCAAGGCTTTTGTTTTGAGTAAAGGAGTAGTCATATTTTGAAATAGAGTGCAACCATCCCTGAAGTAGGGTGGTCTTTGACATTGTCAGATATCACCAGGTTCAGGAAGGGACGAATGATAATGTATAAAAGCCGAAAAAACTGCGGATGCTGTAAATCGGGAATAAAAACAGAATTTGCTGGAAAAGCTCAACTGGTCTGGAAGCATCTGTGAAGAAAAAAATCAGTACTGAGGAAGGGTCACCGGACCCAAAATGTTAACTTTGATTTTTTCTTCACCGATGCTGCCAGACCTGCTGATTTTTTTTCCAGCAACTTTGTTTTTGTGTCTGATAATGTAGTTTATCAACAATGGGCTGCAGCTTATAGAATGTGTGCTTTGGACATGGGAAAAGATGTAGACTCATGGTACATGCACTTAAAGCTTTGATTGAGCGGGGAAGATAGGGAAAAAAAAAGACGTGATTGTTCCATTATTGATTGCGAAGACTTAAGGATAAGGGAAGTAGAGGAGAGAACTTCAAGAAGATGCTTGTCAGTGGAGAAAACAAATCTAAGTTTTTCAACCTTTTGAAAAATAATGGAAAAATGGGGGACCCCAAACCTCCGGGTAACTTTTACAATGCACCCAGATCTGGGAATGAGAAACCTGAGTAGTTCTGTCAGTCAGGCTCGTATTTATCCTTCTCGGACTTGGGGGAATCAGGGGAAATTTCTGTCTTTCATCCCAGTAAAAGGATTTGCTGAGAAAAGGATATTAAAGGACAAGGGTAAGAAAGTGATCAAGATGAGCTCTAAATCTGTTTTTGTATGATCCTAGTAATTCTCTTCTGTTGTACCAATTTAGCTGTGCTAAATTGCCCATAGTGTTCAGGGATGTGTAGGTTACGTGGGTTATAGGGGGATGGGCCTGGGTGGGATGCTGTGAGAGTCGGTGTGGACTTGTTGGGCCGAAGGGCCAGATTCCATACTGTAGGTAGTCTAAGTCTAAGTATCACAACTAGAGTTTTGGGAATGTGAAAGAGCCGTTTTCAGTGACTTGATCTGCGGAAGGAACTAAAGATGTAGGTTGGTTTCTACTCCAGCTGCCTGAAAGGATTTTGTGGAATTTGGATTGGCAGGTGGATTGCATCCAGGCCTTGCTGTATTTTAGTTAACTGTACCAGATGCATGAGCATGGCTCAAGAACTATACTTTTGTATTTGTCCTTTTTTAGGCTGATGCCTGTCCTTCACAGCTTTTCCACCTATTCTTCGAGGTGCTGATTCAGACTTCTATATGCTTTTAATGTGTATGGAACCCTGGAACCATTTGTACGTGGTCATTCTTCTTTGTGAATCTGAACAATGAATAGCAACAGGCTGTTTCACCTGAAGAAGGGTCACTAGACCTGAAACGTTAACTCTTGTTTCTTTCCACAGATGCTGACAGAGTTGCTGCGTTTTTCTAGTAACGTGTGTGTGTGTGTGTGTGTGTGTGTGTGTGTGTGTGTGTGTGTGTGAGAGAGTGAGAGAGAGATATTTCTCAGTCCCAGCATTTGCCATTGTTTGGCTGATTCACCTTGCAGACTATTGCTATTCAAATCCAGTACATTATTCACCTTGTGTCCCTCTCTGCACTTACGTCAGTGCACTTTTTCCTGCAAATTTCACTAGAATAGGCAAGGATTTTGTGCTTCTATTGAAATCCTCCAGGTCCAATTACTTCCATAACACAACAAATCATTGCTACTAACAACCCTTATCTTGGTTGAAATTGGGAGCTTATGTCAAGGTGGAGATGGAACTTTCGTGGAATCTTTGTGGAAGATGTGAAATAATCATGAATCTGAAACGTGAGCTAAATGTAACATTTTTGAATCTCTACATCTGTGTTGCACCTACAAATGTACTGAGAGCTCAGAAATATATTTTAGGGAAAAAATGGTACTACTGTGCTGTGTCATTATTTGGGCTGCTATATCTAGATGCAACAGCCTGATATTTCTTCATGCCTGATTCAGACATACATTTATATTGTTCTTATTAATAAAGGTCACAAGTACAAATAGATTATTGAGATTAATCACCCTATTTTTCTTTCCATTTGAAAACGTTCTCTCTCAGTAAACAAAAACATCATCCAAGTTTATTTTGTGACTCTTAAAATTTTATCCTTCATTACTTTATGTAGATTTTCATTACAGAATAAAAAAATGTCTTTTTGTTTCTGAGACCTCACTTTTTGATCTCCTAGTCTGCTTCAGCTGTGCATCTATCAAATAATTTTCTAAGATCTTCCTTCAGTTCAGTACACTGACACTTGGATCCTTTCTGCATTATTTCCAAAACCCAGATGCTACCCCCACCAAAATGAAACACTTTTCCATTTCTGAAGAAGGGTCTAGGCCTGAAACGTCAGCCTTCCTGCTCCTCTGATGCTGCTTGGCCTGCTGTGTTCATCCAGCTCTACACCTTGTTATCTCACTTTTCCTATAATTATTGCTAGTTCCTCTGAGCCTATATATAACCAATTTTGCAATGTTTGTTTGTGTCTCTGTATAATAGCAATCTCTTCCAATTGCATTCTGAACTAGTCAGCCTTGTGACACCTTAATTTATGTTGATGGTACACTGTGCCATTAAGAATTGTGGTCTGTTGGATGAGACATTAAATGAAGTTTCCACCAGCCTATGTTTTAACTTTTTTTTTTTTTGGTTGAGCCTGACTTCGTCCTTGATGTGTGAAGAATATTTGTTAGTGTATTTCTTCAGGATTGGAATAGGCTGTTTTTTCCTTGCTGTCCACCCAAAAGCATGTACGACTCCTCATGTGACAACCTCCCCCATGGGTAGGACAAGGAAGCAGGTCCCAAATCCACCCCAGATAGAATGCTATTTTAATCCTGTGTTCTTGGTACCAATCTGATCCACAATAACCATCCAGCCAGCTAAACCAAATGGTCCCATGACTTTCTGTGTATGTTGTAGCATGCAGCTATATGAGTGGATATGGAAAGGCTCTAATTTCTTTCCAACACATTACTGACCACAGATCTCACCTGCTTTAGCACTTCCACTGGTGAGTGTTGGATGCATTTACAAGTTGATATTTGACCTGTTCCAGCAAGATTATTAACACATTTCCTTGGTCATCGAGTCCTGGAATAGAACATTAAACCTCGAGTTTCTGGTCCACAGGCAGGAGCATTACCACTGAATCACAACAAATCCCAGTAGGCTATTGCTATTTTTGTAAGGGAGTACTCTTCAAAGAGTGCTCTGTCAGCTGGGATTTTTTAGGAAGTAGCCTGACTCTTTGAAATTTGTTTTGTTCTCCTCAATATCAATGGCACATAACCAGGTGAATGAATTGTTGATAACAAGGTGTAGAGCTGGATGAACACAGCGGGCCAAGCAGCATCAGAGGAGCAGGAAAGCTGACGTTTCGGGTCTGGACCCTTCTTCGGAAAAGATGAATTATTAGATGAATAGTTTTAGCTTCATTGGTTGCAAAAACTTTGGAAAAATGTAGTTTGATGTACTATACAACAGTTCCACAATGAGATGTCAAAGCAGCTTGTGCTGATTTTTTCCCCTCTTTCTTTTGTTGTTTTCTAGGGTATCTGGAGCTGTATACACGGTGTTCCATACGAGGAAAAGAAAAAATCGCCCAACCTGGATTTGAACAGCCCTCAAACAAATATTCTGAGGCTGTTTAACACGGCAAAAACAATGGCCAATATGTCAAATCTGAATGCTTCAAGAGCAAACTCCCCGAAAAGAACTTCCAATTTCATTCAAAAAGGGTCTTTGCTGCTTGATGTGGTTGACCAAAAGGGAAATTTCCTGTACTCTGATAACAGGCCCTATCAACCCAAGGAGACTGGCTTCACTGATAACACCAGCGAAATGATGACATTTAATGTCAACAGGCAGAAAGATAACCGTAACAATTATATACTCCAAGGGCAGCATCCGTTGACTCTAAATGAAGCAAATCCCAACACTGTGGAGGTTGCAGTTAGCTCTGATACTCCTAAACTTAACTCCAGGCCTAGGCAGCTGTGGAAAAAATCTGTGGAAACGTTGCGGCAAAATCAGGGGTCGCTAGTAGAAAGTGTCAATGTAGAGCCCAAGCAACCCGTTAAAAACCAGAGGTACCTTCCAGAGGATGTTGTCCATTCAGACATGTCTGATTGTTCAAGCCGCACTACATCCTACAAGGATCCTGACAACAATCAGAAGTATCACAAACATAAAGAGACCTTCAAAAAGAAATCCATGATGGCCAAGTATCCTCGAGACTGCAGTGAAATAGAACTCTCTTATCTTAGAGCAAAGGAGAGCCAGCAACACCATCGTGACAAAGTCTACACCATTGATTCTGACCGGGAGTCCAGTTATCATTCGGATCAGCATCATTACCGAGAAAATGTAGCAATTCCAGAGGGTCTGGACTACCCTCAGGTGTATCATGATCAGAATGAGAATTACAGGAAACAGGAAGCAGTTCTGCACGTAAACAGGACTCCTCAGCATAATGAGGACAACCTTACCAATGCTGAAAATAAATACAGCCTCTATAATAAGCACTACAGCTTGAAGGAGAAAAATCTTTCCCCTGTCGATTACAATGATAGGTACAAGCAGCCCATCGCTCACTGCAGAAGCTGCCTCTCCAAACTGCCCAACTACACCCCTCACTACTCGGTCAGGTCTCCATATAACAGATGTGATGCTTGTGTACACACAGCAAACTTGTATGATATTAGTGAAGATCACATGTTACAAGAGCCAGTAAGCTCCATGTGCCCTGAAGAATCCTTTGTCCACCACTGGGTGGGTTCTGAAGCCTCGAACATGCAGAAAGTAAATAGGCTGAGGATTAGCAGACAGCATTCATTTGACAATATCCTTGAGAACCCTAAAGAAGTGGATCTTGGAAGACCTGCACGAAGTGTAAGCTTAAAAGAAAAGGACAAATTTCAGGATGACCCTTATGCACATGTATTCGATATTAAGCCAGAGAAACTCTTTAGCACCAAGGTTTCTGTTTTTGACCATAATCTGGAAGAGACCAAACGGAGTAAATCATTGTATCCAGACCATGTCTCTGAGAATCCATTTTG